TTTTTTTTTTTTTTTTTTTTTCTCTGTCTCCCCCGGCCCCTGCTGCTGCTGCTGCTGCTGCTGCTCCCCCAGCATCCCATAAAACTCTGCACACTGCGCGCAGTCGAAGCCCCGCAGCTGCGCTCTCTCTCTGCGGTGTACAGACGCATGCATGCGCGGCAGCAGCTGCTGCTGCTGCTGCTGCTGCTGCTGCTGCAGCTCCTGCTGCATAGACAGCGCAGAGCAACGCACAGACACAGAGATACTGCCCCCCGGCCGCTGGCCCCCCTCGCCTGCTGCTGCTCCTGCTGCTGCTGCTGTAGATGCTGCTGCTGCGCCTGTTGGCGCTGCTGCTGCTGCTGCTGCTGCTGTTGCTGCTAGCAGTGCTGAGGCTTCAGACTTCACTGGGGTGCTGCGCAGCCGTCTCTGTTCGGTTGCATCGCTGCCTCTGCTGCTGCTGCTGCTGCTGCTGCTCGCGGCACCTGCAGCAGCTCTATCTGTCTCCTTTTCTGTCTCCTTTTGCTGCCCTTTGGAATCTCCCGCTGCTGCTGCAGCTGCTCCTGCTGCAGCAGCAGCTGCTGCTGCTGCTGCAGTGCCTGCAGCAGCACTGGGCTCCACTCCGTCCCTAGGCCGAAGCAAACTGGCGGAGCTGCTGCGAACAGAAATGCCGACGGGGGAAGAAGACACCACAACCCGGCAACGCTTGCTGCTGCTGCCGCTGTTGCTGCTGCTGTTGCTGCTGCTGCTGCTGCTGCTGTTGCTGCTGCTGTTGGTGTTGTTGTTCCTGCTGGAACTTGTCTGTGATGTGTCCACTGGGCTCTGCGCCCCTCCCGGCTCCCCGTCTTGCTGCTGCTGCCTGTTCTGCTGCTGCTGCTGCTGCTGCTGCTGCTGCTGTTGCTGCTGCTGCTGCTGCCCGTCTTGTGTTTTGTAGGCTCGCTCTGTCGCCTCGCTACTTTCCGCTGGCCCTTCTCGTTTGTGCTTGCCGTCGTCTGCTGCCGGGGGGTCGCTGTCTGCTGCTGACGCTGCTGCTGTTGCTGCTGCTGGTTCCTGTTCTGCCGCTGCTGCTGCTGCTTCTGCTGCTGCTGCTGCTGCTGCTATTGCTCTACCTCCACTCTCTGCTTCTGGTTGTGTGTCCATGGGCGACCGCCTCTGTCTCTTGCAGGAGTCTCTCCCGTCACCGACATGGCTGCTGCTGCTGCTGCTGCTGTTGCTGCTGTTGCTGCTGCTGTTGCTGCTGCTGTTGCTGCTGTTGCTTTCTGGCGCTGTGTCTCCTCTGATCAGGCGTAGCCCGTGGATGCAGCAGATGGGTACGGTGAGCTTTTTGTTGTGTTTGTGTTCTTTTTCAGTCTCTGTATCGCTGCTGCTGGAGTTGCTGGATGGGCTGCTGCTGCTGCTGCTGCTGCTGCTGCGGCTGCTGCTGCGGCTGCTGCTTCTGCCCCTGCTGCTGCTGCGCCGCCGCACGCAGACAGAGAAGGGCTCAAAGGCAAAGGAAGATAGATCAGCTCCCCGCTTCAGCCGCCGCAGCGGCAGCCCGTTAGCAGCAGCAGCAGCTCGCTCCAGCAGACACAGCACCCGCAGGTGTGTCTTGCTGCTTGCTGCTGCTGCTGCTGCTGCTGCTGCATCTTCACTACCATCCTCATCCCCATCCTCAGCAGCAGCAGCAGCAGCAGCAGGAGCAGCAGCAGCAGCAGTAGGTGTAGGTGTTTGTATCCACTCAGCAACAAGCAGCAGCAGCTCCGACGCGGGCAGAGCAACAGCATCCTCAAGCAGCCGCAGCTGCAGCGTGCTGCTGCTGGCCAGTGCATGCACTGGTGCTGCAGTGAGAGAGAAAGAAGCAAAAGTATTTATCCATGCTTCCTGGCAGACTGTTGCATGCGAAAGAAACAAACGAAACGCCTCAGCAGCCCGCAGCGCGCCGCCGCTCAGCAGCAGACCCCCCGCACTCTCCAGCTGTATAGACAGCCCGCAGCCCCCGCCCCCCCCCCACTGCTCGTCTCCGCTGTCTGTACACCCGGATCCTGCTGCTGCTGCTTCTCCGCTTTCAGATAAGGGGCTTCGGCTGCCGCTGCCATCAGCAGCAGCAGCAGCAGCAGCAGCAGCAGCAGCAGCAGCAGCAGCAGGAGACAGCAGACAGTTCAGCTCCGGTAGGGGGAGACCATCAACACGCAGAGACCACCGGTACAGCCGACCGGTCCACTGGCCTGCAGAGCCTCTCAGCATATCCATTACTTCTTCTTCTTCCTCTTGCTGCTGCTGCTGCTGCTGCTG